AAAAAGGGCTCAATTTGTCAAGTAACGATAGTTGACAAAATGCTTCCTTATGACTGGGAAGTGCACTTTATTCAATTTTATTGTAAAAATAATTTGCAGTATATTACTAGTTCGTCACGGTCACATAGTATTACTGGTCGCTGAAATTTACAGTGGAAGAAATAAGTTTGAAGTTAGAAGGAACTATAGCCTATTAATTTGAAATACATAATAAGTTGTATACAAAGTTCCTAACTATTTAGTAAATATAGTAATCGATAAAATTTTAATTTTCTTTTAATGTTCACGATTCAAATCAGCTTTTCTTATTTAGATTCCTGATTTCGTCCCTCAAAATTTGTACAATCCTTTGATACTTTGTATTCTAGTTGGATTTGGATTTAGATTTGTAATTTGTATTTGTGGATCTCAAATGGTGAGATCGCAGGATGCATTAAAATAATATGTGTGATTGATTTGTGGCTGAGACGTGGTGGGAACAGCTCCGAGCTTCGACCCATACAATCAATGACAGGTAGTGAGGCACTACTGCTCATCTTCAACACGCAAATGGGTCCTTGGCCCCCCAGCCACATAAAATAAGCAAAAGTTGCGTTTTTGGCTGTTCTAGGCCCTTCTATTTTGCTAAAGAGTGACTATAGGAGGAAAGAATAAGATGCTTCGCTGAGTATTGAGCTTCTGAATTACTGATCTACTTCCTTTTTTCAATTTGCCCCCTGAAATCTTGACAAAGACTGAATCTGAATTCCTTAGGAACTGTCCAGATCAATATAGAACGTGGCCAACCATTATCAGAACTGTTACTATTGTTAATTATTTGAGCGAGATGGAGCAGATTCTGCTTTCACCAGCGTCCACTAATGGGTTCATTTCACATCCATAATTTGCTCTGTACTTATGCAATTTAGTTCAGGAAGTGACATAGTTTTGGACTGTATAACTATGGAGAGAACTAATTTTTAGTTCTCCCAACTTGACATGTGCAGAGTTCACTGAAGCTGCTGGCAATCTTCGTCGTGCCATGTTTTCTGGCAGAATCGGCGTACAAGATATGGTGGTACGCTTCGGGCGCGTCACAGATCCCATTCCTCGGCAATGTCCTCCTAAGCGACACCGTGGCGTGCGCAATGGAGCTCCTCTCGTGGCTCTACCGCACCACCATCATCTTCCTCGTCTGCGTCCTCTTCCACCTGATCTGCCACCTCCAGATCCTACGGCTCCAGGACTTCGCCAAGTTCTTCGAGGTCGATTCGGACATGGGCGATGTGTTGTACGAGCACCTCAAGATCAGAAAGCACCTCAGGATCATCAGCCATCGGTACCGCTCCTTCATGCTTTGGGCCTTGATTATGGTGACAGGGAGCCAGTTTGCATCCTTGCTCGCCACCACCAAGCCCGGCGCCATCGTCGATATCTACCGTGCTGGAGAGCTTGCGGTATGCGTAAATGGGTTGTGATGTTTTAAGCAGGTAAAAAAAAGGTAATACTTTTTTCCTGACAATTTTGTTGTTGTGGCAGCTCTGTTCGATGACGCTTGTGGCGGGTGTTCTCATCTTGCTGCGAAGTGCGACGAAGATCACCCACAAGGCGCAGGCCGTGACGAGCTTGGCTGCTAAGTGGAATGTCTGCGCCACGCTAGAGCGCTTCGACGCGACAGACGGCGAGACTCCCACGGCCGCGATGATGGCTGCTGGTGGTGCTGGCGACTCGGGGACAGAGACTGATGATGCAGGGGACGAAGAGGACGAGCTAGACAACTCCAAAATCATGCACGCTTACGCCTACAGCACGCTGTCGTTCCAGAAGCGACAAGCATTGGGTAAGTGGTTATGATCCACGGTTATTTACTTTCTGCTGCTTGATTGTGGGAATTTCGTCTGTCTCTGATGCTAATTCCTGAACTTTGGGGGTGATTGTGACAGTGACATACTTTGAGAACAACAGGGCAGGGATCACGGTTTACGGGTTCACCCTCGATAGGAGCACTCTGCATTCCATTTTTGGGGTTGAGCTTGCTCTTGTTCTCTGGTTGCTGGGGAAGACCGTCGGCATTTCTTAAACTTGCACGAGTTTAGAGTTTTTTCCTGTCCCCTGTAACTTAATTAAGAAGATGGATCTATATATGTATAGTAGCATCAATCACCTGTCACAAAAGTCTTAACAGTGATCTATATGCCATGGTTCTTTTAGCCACCAGCGAGTATTGCATACGTGGATTTGTGGGTACTTGTAAGAAATGACATGTATTTGTTGTTCAGTTTGAGAATTGTGGCGGCCGGTGAATGTTATTAATGCTAATACCGGGTATGTAGGTCTATTTTCTACTTGGGAGAGAGGAAGGGAGGGATAGATAGATTCCATATGTGTTTACATGTTTATCATTTTTGTGCTTTGATTGGGTAAAAAATCGTTCTTGTGCTGGATGTTGATCCGATTTTCTTTTGTTTGTCGTGTCACTTGATCAGTTTGTTGATTGTAGTATTATTTACTTAATAAATTTCACTCATGATTGTCGAGAATTTTACAGATGATTTTTACTACATTAACAAAGATAGAGTTACATAATGTGCTTGTCAACGAAAGAAAAAACACAATTGCCAAATTGCAACATCACTAAACAAAAACATGAATACCAAGTCAAAATCACTCCTTAAAACTAAATCATAGCCTTGAACCATTAGGTCATAGTCAAATGGAAAATACTAGTTATAGGGGGTATAATAAGTCATAATAGCCAAAGAAGGCAAAAGTAATCAATGATGGGTGAATTTGATGAACTATTAGGGTTCAACTAGCTAAAGTGGAGATAAATGAAATAGAATTGAAAAAAATGGAGGAGAACTAATTTGGCCTGAATTGTGAATAATGGGTCAACCAAGTTTATCCATGTTCGACTTGTGAACTACATATTTGATCGAATCAAAAGTTTGAACTAGTCTAATAACCTTCATACATACACGAGAGTATTAAAAATAGACAAGAATAGGAAGGATCATTCCAAAGGAGTTGTATCCTGTTTCTTCCATTTGAATCTCCTTTAGGCTAGCTAGATCTCTTTCACTCTTCCTCGCCTATTAAAAAATACAAGGGAATACACCTAAGAACATGAAAAACTTTTGAGATCTTCCCTAGACTTGCTTTTTATTTCTCTTTCCCAATATGAGGTTGTTCCAAAGAACATGGAATATCACCGGACCACTGAGGACTTGAATGGAGACGAGTTCACAAATCCATTTGGTCCTCGTTATTTGTTCTTACTCTTGTTATCTATCTCTAGAAATTTGCATTTAATTCATGTCCTTTTTAAGAAGCTAGTTTACAGACACTAAAGCACCTAACAAAAAAGCATTGATAATAAGATAGTCCCCTGTTCTCTCCTTTGGTTTGCCTAATTTCTACCCTAGCTAGCTACCACTTACTCTCTCGCTTGGTGACCAAGTAACTACTCACACTATAGAAGGGAGGGAAGGCTAAACTCTACAAACAAGGCTCCATACCCACTCCTATTTGAAAATTAATCCCCCACTCCCTTGTCCATTGGTGTTTTCACTTTCTCACCCCTTTTCTTCGACCTCGCTTATCCCTTTGGCTCTTATGGTTATACCTCCTCTCGTAGTCTTTCTGTTAGAGTTGCTTTTCGAAGTGAGCTCTCTCTTTCGCTAGAGTTCAAATCAAGAGAAAGTTCCTCTACCTGGATCGGCTTTATTAATTGTCGCATCCATTCCCTCATTCATTCTATTCCGAAGAATATAGTCCATGTTCATGCTTATTATCCTCGTTGGGAATTTCTTTCTAGATTTATAAAAAAGTATATCAATCAAAAGTTGATAGTTCTCTCCTCTTTCTCTTTGAGTAACACATTGTTCTCTTACTTTCTCAATTGAAGATTTAGCATATTTTATTGAGATCATATTGCATTCTTACTCCCAATTAAGACATTGTCCATAGTCACCACCTTTGTCTCCTTTCCCACTCCTTCCTATAGAAATGAGTAAAATGCAATTTTTGCACACATGTCTCTTCCAATTGAGGGTGTATACACGATATCTTGTGCAGGTTATGGGACTTTACCATTGCGACTCTTGGTGGTAAATGTCCGTTATTGTAGGATGTTCTCCCTGCTTTAAGGTAGAGATATAACCCCCATTGTCTCATCTAGAGTGTTTTAACACTCAAGACCTAAGAGGACATTGAATTCGTGGCACCAAGATCAAATAAATAATACCATTAGCATGTGGTGTTGGGCCACGACACCTTATGCTTGTTGACAAGATCACGACAACTAAGCATGTGCTACATATCATATCACAACATCCTCATCCCACATGATACTGATAGACCGATGGGAGGTTACCTCCGTTGTTGATTTAGACTCGAGTGTCGGAGGGTCCGCTGGGGAATATAACTTTGACGAGGGTTTCTGCAAGTCCCTCAAATAGGGTTGTACAAGGATCAATAACGAATATATCACTGATTAAGGAGATGTGCCTTTAGTGAGGATTGGATCGTGGCAAGTACGTCACTATTTTATGTCTAATCGATGTACACTTTCAAACACATGAAATTATTGGTGCTTATAACATTTTCTTCAACAAGAACTTTGCTCGAAGCAAGAGTATTTTTTATCATCCTAAGTAAAAACTAAATTTATAATTTGGTAGAGAAAAAGAGAGAATCGGCGAACAAGAAAGTCCAAGTCACAACATGATATGATACCTCAAACCGGTACTGTTCCAACTTTCAAATGCCACCACACAACCAAATCTTTGAATTGAGAACTAACGGAGTGAACAAACGCCACAGTGTCACAGCTCAAAAGTCCTTATTTCTTCCATCTCATCGGGGAAAAACATAATCCGATGCTCGGTGCCGCCGGAGAGATTAAAATCAAAGCGATGTCGTTTGCTTGCCGCTTGATTCCATTCCATCTTTCCGAACTCCCGGAGGGGCACTTTACGTTGGCGGAAAGAACTCGTTTTTGTTTTTCTAATCCCTTTTCCCCAGAATATTAACGGCAAAAATAAAGAAAAACCAAATAAATAAATAAAACAAAACGAAAAGAAGGAGGTGGGGGGAAGAACAGAAAGTGACTGCTGAAATTGCCTACCTTCGCGTTCAAAAAATTCCCTTTCTCACACCTATACGTTTTAAACACACCCCTACAAAGCGCCCTTCTCTATAAAGCAAACGACCGAAACCGAAATCCCCGGCACCAATCGCCGTTTCTGTGGATAGCAGCTGCTGTTCATTCCAATCTTCCGGCGGGGGTGCGGTGCGCCATGGAGATAACTCCTTCTCCAATCGGTTCCTGCAACAAAGAGTTCCAGAAGATCTACCAGGATTGGTTCAACTACGCCGATTCAGGTAAGTAGTGTTCCTCTAGACTCTAGAGGAAATGACATGTCCCGTATCACTGTTACTTTAGATTCATTTGCTCTTCTGCGGGAGAAATGAAGTGAAACGATTCACTTTTGTTGTGTGTGTTGGTTGGTTGTAGATGGAGACGGTAGAATTACTGGCACCGACGCCATTAAATTCTTCGGCATGTCGAATTTGCCTCGTCCCGATCTTAAACAGGTTTGAGTTTTTCCTGCTGTTGGAGCTTGGTTTTTGTCGCTTGAGGTTGATTAGTTCCTTGTTTCATGGTGATAATTTGTGTTTGTTGCTGTTGTTGTGAAGGTGTGGGCTATGGCGGACACCAAGAGGCAAGGATACCTTGGCTTTAAAGAGTTCGTTGCAGCTATGCAGGTCTTACATTACTGGAGTTCTCTCTCTCTCCCTCTTTCTGTCTGTTTCGCGCTTCTAGCCTGGAAAGGTTGATTATTGTTTCCTGATTCATGTGCTGCTTTGGTTGTTTAGTTAGTCACCTTGGCACAATCTGGGAAGGAGATATCAAGTGAAATCCTGCACAGCGATGGTAAGATGTTCAAACTTGTTCTTTCTTGCGTATTAGGCGGTACTGAGCTTCTCCTGTCTAATTCCGATGATTATTGCCGACCTGGACCAATCTTTGCTTGGAACTGCAGTTGATTTTGAAAATGTGCCTCCTCCCATGATGGAAGGTTTAGCGGAGCTTTTGGCTGTAAGTTCTCTGTCACTGTTGTGTGTGTTGCTCTTTCCAGTGGATCTTTCTTAGGCTTTAGAAACCCTTTTTGCGCAGAAGAAAAAGAGGTCGACCTCCAGATCAACTGATTTTGATGCTAATGGTAAGAAAATTTGGTAGTGATTCATATTTATGCTTTGGTTTATGCTTGTATACTGACTTTGATTGGTGAAAATGCAGGTAGTCCTCCGGTTGAAACCTCACCTTCGGTACGTTGGTTTTCTTCTACGAAATCTGCAAAGAAGGTTTGTTTTGTTCCTTTTATTCTGTTGGATCGTTCTTTTGGTGTGATAATGATGCTATAGTTGGTTGTCATATAGTGAGCTAGCTTGTGCTGAAGGTTACCTTATCCACTACACATCTAGGAGAAATCCTATGCTCTTCCTTTTTGTTGCTCAGGTGCTTAGCCCTCCTGTGTAGAGCTTATGTCTATAGCAGTGTCAAGTGGTAGCAGCAGGTTGAGATACAAAGCTACCCTGAAGGTTCTATGTGTTGAGATACCGTTATGCATTTCCATTTGTTTGTAAGGGTTCCCAGGAATGCCGAATTTTCTCACTAGTGTTGACTTATAACCTCCATTCCTTAATTCTAGATTAGGCCTCGAACTGCCTTGAGAAGCAGTTTAGAGATGGTGTTGCTCACACTTCGTTACCTTTTCCTAGGAATCCCTTTTAAGGGGATCTATGGGCTCTAATATTCTGTCTCCACATGTTCATGGTTTGTGCAACCTTCTTCCGGCTATTTCATTCATTGTTCATGCAACCTCTTCCAGTTCTATTTCTGCGTCTCTATGTTGCATATGGTTTTGGTTGATGTGCATCTTATAATTGCCGTTTTTTGTTTTCTTCAATTGATCACTGGAACAATTTCCCTAACACCTGCAATTTCCTCTCTGTTTGAATTTTGTTTAATGAACAGGTCCCACTATCCTCGGTGACATCCATAATTGATGGTTTGAAGAAGTTGTATCTTCAAAAGCTGAAACCATTGGAAGTTGCTTACCGCTTTAATGATTTTGTATCTCCACTATTGGTCAGTATAAATGCCCATTTTAGTTTTGCTTAGCGTTGATCTATCTGAATGTGCATATCATTAGCCGTGGGCTTTTTGTACTTTGGATATTATTACATGCTTGGGATATTTTGTTGATATGCTGTTTATTGCAGACAAATAGTGATTTTGATGCCAAGCCCATGGTTATGCTATTGGGCCAGTACTCCACAGGGAAAACAACATTCATAAAACATCTACTTAAAAGTAGCTATCCTGGTGAGACTTCTTTGCTTCGGAGCACCTAAGACTCTGGAAGGCATCATATTCCTTCTACTAAAATATCATTCCTCGTTCTGGGATTTTCTGCAGGAGCTCATATTGGACCTGAACCTACCACGGACAGATTTGTGGTGGTTATGGTACTGTGAGAGCCCTTTTATATCTTTATACTTTATCAAATTTGACTTTGTGCATGTAGTCTGCTTAGCCTTGAGAATGGACAGCTCGCCTTTAGTAAGTCATTCTCTTGTACGAGTCTATAAAGTTCCAATCTTGCGTGCAAATACCTGCTAAGTCCGTATGAGTTTCCTTCTTGTTGAGGAGTTCGTACCTTCCAATGTTATCATATGTATTTCATATCTGGTGAAAGAAATATCTGTACAGACGGTGAATTCTTCCTGTTCATAAGATGAACATTTGTTCTGAACTACTGGGGCAGTGGATTTTTTGGCTGGTGGGGTTTGATCTTTCTTTCGTTGATTTTGTGTGCTTCCTAACTGTACGTTTCTGAGAAGCTCCCAATCAAAAAAATTCTTCAGTTGCTTAAAACTTTATTACATGTTTCAGTTGTTCAGAGGCACTCTGCTCTAGATTTATTTTCTCATAAGTAGCTCACAAAATTATGCTATTAGGCCCCAAGCTTCCATTCTCGATGCTTGCTGGTGTTGATCTCTTTTAATAACTACTTTTTCTTGTTTAATTACTGCCTGACAGGTGTATTGATAGAATTGTAACTTCTACTCAACTATTATAATTTCAGACATTTTTCTTTGTTCATCATGCTTTTTTCCAAATTGACATTGCACCTAATACTCAGTTGATTTTGGTAATAATACGTTAACGATCTCTTCTTATGCAGTCTGGACCAGATGAGAGAAGTATTCCAGGCAATACTGTGGCAGTTCAGGCAGACATGCCATACAGTGGACTAACAACTTTTGGAACTGCATTTCTGTCGAAATTTGAATGTTCTCAAATGCCGCATCCTGTAAGTCTCTCAACATATTATGATGGATGATGCTATCTTCAGGTCAAATTTTAGTGTGTAAGACTGAGTTTTGTTTTGGTGAAGCTGCTGGAGCATATCACATTTGTAGACTCACCTGGAGTGTTATCTGGAGAAAAGCAACGAATCCACCGGTCTTATGATTTTACTGGTGTGACGTCATGGTTCGCTGCTAAGTGTGACCTTATTTTGCTTCTCTTTGATCCTCACAAACTTGATGTTAGTGACGAGTTCAAGCGTGTCATTTCATCTCTACGTGGGCATGATGACAAGATTAGGGTGGTTCTGAACAAGGCAGACCAAGTTGATACGCAGCAAGTAAGAAAGCTTCCAAGTAACTTGCATGATGACAAGATTGGCTGTGCAGTATTTTAATAATTCACTTGTTTCTGAATGCAGCTAATGAGAGTTTATGGAGCCTTGATGTGGTCATTGGGGAAAGTCCTCAATACTCCTGAAGTTATGCGTGTCTATATCGGGTATGCTTTTCTAGTAGTAATATATTTTACTAGTTATAATGTGATGTCAAGTTGCAACCTTTCATGTTAGCTGCACACCACAAATATGTATTTATATGTCATTGTATTGTTTCTTGATTCATATTCACATATACAGCCTTCAGTTTGGAGAAATGTAGACCAGTCTATATTGAATCTGTTATGAAATTAGCATAGCTGATGAACAACCCGATGGCCTCTCATTAGATGATGGTTTGGTTGATCTCATATAATATTGGGTTCTTTATGTTCTGCTTTCTTGAGATCTCTGTTATCTGGTATCAATATTAATTTGTGGCTAGTTGTTCAATTTTATTAGAAGTAAACTATCTTTAGAGTGCTTGGTTATTCCTTCATACTGTCTATGGCCTGTTTCTAGGCTCATCGAGGGGGGAAAATGATATTCTACATTTTTGTGTTTTTGTAATTTTTGGGTATCACACTTCACAAGCGAGCACATTTTTCATTATGTTATCTCAGCTGCGTGATTATTTGTTTGATTCCTTGACATACCAAAGCTTGCGTTCTTATTTGTTATGCTCTTAATATTATGTGCTATCATCATGACTTTAGTTTGTTTGATGACTTATATACTGCTATCGTGTTACTGATTATGTGCTGTCTTTATGACCATGGTTGATGCTTCTCATTGGCTGGCAGCTCATTCAATGATAAACCAGTAAGCGAAAATGCTGTTGGGCCACTTGGGAAAGAGCTTTTTGAGAAAGAACAGTCTGACCTTCTCTCTGATCTAAAAGATATTCCCAAGAAGGCTTGTGATCGAAGAGTGAGTACCTTCTCTGTTTTCTTTTCTGAAGTTTTGAAACATGACCTGGTCCTGGAATATTTCATAATCGCTGTTCAAACCACATGCTTACACCCTCGACCTTTATCAAGTATCTGAACGTAAATATCACAAACATATCGATCAATCATTACAACCCTGCAACTCATTTATGAGATTTAAGATAGTTTTCTGGTTTTCGAAACAATCACTTAATTGGAGCTTATGCTTAAGGTAATAACTAATGATGGTTTCCTGTAACAGATCAATGAATTTGTGAAGCGTGCACGGGCTGCAAAAATACATGCTTACATTATTAGCCACCTTAAGAAGGAGATGCCATCCATGATGGGTAAAGCAAAGGCTCAGCAAAGACTAATCGATAATTTGGCAGACGAATTTGGAAAGGTCTCTTCCCCCCCCTCTCCCTCTCTCTAAATGCCTCAAAATAATTGGACATTTTCATCCCTTTCGTCTTGCACTACAAGCTCACCAGTCGACCTTCAATGTTTTTACAGGTTCAGAGGGAGTTTCACTTACCTCCAGGTGATTTCCCAAATGTAGAGCAGTTCAAGGAGGTTTTGAGCGGGTACAACATCGACAAGTTTGAAAAGTTGAAGCCCAAAATGATCCAAGCTGTTGATGACATGCTCGGGTACGACATCCCTGATCTCTTGAAGAACTTCAGAAACCCTTACGACTAAGAGGAATACACCTCTGGATCATGGCAGCATGTATGATTCTCAAGTGTCATCTAGAATCGCGATTTAAGGGCTTATGAGAGATTCATTGTCAGGTCTCTTACAAATCGTAGGAGAGCGTGTTGTGGTAGTTTGAGCCATGTATAATGCTTGATTCGATCCAGGTTTTGAGTTACTGCTCGGTGTGTCGCTCAATGTAATTTAGTAAATTAGTGCCTCGTAGCTTGCCTATCATGTGTAGAGATACATTTCACAGTTTTGTCAGTTCCATATGTAGCATTATCGTAGCAGGATTATGTACCGTAATCGTTGTTGCTGAACTCATTTGATATTCATTCTGCTCTCTCAATTTCTTCAGCTATGCGTATCCTAAATACCACACCATACATATTATATTTGCAGGATGGTGCAATTCAATCCTTGAATCATTAGATATCGCAATATGTCTTCAAAATTAGCTCCATCTCTAATTAACATTGCATTTTCCCCTAAATTGATCGAACCCTTGAATTGTGGGCAGAATTGATATCTTCCTATCCATGTATGATCCAGAAAAAAGTCCACTGCACGTCTGCACACCACAATGGAACTCTGAATTAATGCTATGACTCTCTTGATCACACGTGCATTTGAATTTGAAATGGATAAGATTTAATTTGCAGAAATTAAAAACGATTACCATTGGGTAGGTTCCAGTAACTTGTCATTTTTACTTACTGCACTGATCTAGGCAAGATATCCTACCCTATCTTATCAAACCCAGAAATCAAGTAAATAATTGGCGCCTAACAAATCATTTGAAACCCCAAAAATCATGCTAAATAAGGATCTCATCCCCCCCAATCTCCAATAAAACCAGAGTATGCATGGCAATTCCATTCTCCTCTTCAGCTTATTACCACATTAATCATGTCTTGGTTGAAGCCAGAACTATTCAACAACGCATCGTCCTCTCCCAAAAAGAAGCCATTGATCAAACGGCTCGTCTCCACCGTCAAGAAGAAACTCTTCCTCCTCCGTCGTCGACACCCTACTCCTCAGCTCCTGGCCGGAGTAACCGGCCCCCCCCTTCCCGACCCTCCTCTTCTCTGCCGGCGCTGCTCCTGCCACCAGTTTTCATCGTTGTCGGAGGAGTCAGGGGAGGGAAATATTGGTGGTGATGATGATGAGCAAGTGGACGAGAGTGCGGAGCAGTTTATAGGGAAGATGAGGGCGATGTGGCGGCTGGAAAGGAAGATCTCCGACGAGTTCTGGGCTCAGCTTCGTGATCTTGACCGTTAATTAGCTACTTCATTCGACTACCATTACCGACTTCTACTTTTTAGTATTAGCAGTGGGTATTTTTTGGTTTAGAGGAGATTTTAGCCACGAGGTTTTTGGGGGGAAAAAATGGCTGGTTTTCGTGGAGGAAGTGGAACGTTTTTTAGGGTTTCCTTTTCTCCAAATTTGTTCCCGCGTTTGAGAATAAGGATCATATCAATGGGTATCAAAGGTATGAACAACGAAAGATATTCGTTTATTTAGCAAGTCAATAACCAAGGCCAATAAAACTAAAAATGTCACACCCAAAAAAAAAAAAAAATCAAGAGAAAGCGATGCAAAAAGACATATATGAGATCAGTAATTAAACATATATAAGGAATCATCGTCGTTATAACAAACAAGGTAACTGGAAATTCTGATTGTCAGTCACCGCCGATCGAGTCTCGCCGGCCGGAGTAAAAAAGCCAAATGTACGTACGTACGTACGTTATTTGTCGGCATTGGACCTGCAGACGATTGCCCACTCCGACAAACTGACCGACGCCTGGCTCTTCTCCCAGTTCCGGCTGAAAGACGAAGCCTCGAAATCTCCTCTCGGCGAACCCGCCGCGAAGCTCCCAATCTCTTCGTCCATCCGCCGCGCCGGCGATTTCTTCCCCTGATGATTCCGCTGAGTAGTCCTCCTGCTGCTGTTGTTGTTGAACCTTATGTTGTTGTTTCCTCCTCCCCTGTAATTCCAATCCTCCCCTGCCACGAAGCTCTCCTCCACTTCCTCCATCCTCCCATTCGCCGACTTCCTTGCCGCCCCTCCGCCTCCGCCGCCGTACTTCCAGTTGTCCTCCGCCACGAAACTCTCCTCCTCTACTTTACGCGACGCCGATTTCCTCCCTCCGCCCTTATTCATCCATTCCTTGGGCGAACCGATGAAACTCTCCTCCTCAATAATAGCTCTGGCGACGGCGGGCGGCTTCCGGCCGGAGTGCTTCCCTCCTCCGCCGGCGCCTGGGTAGTTGGACAGGCTGTTCGACTTCCTGTGATTCCCACCTCCGCCGGCGTGACGGCTCAATTCTACTTTATCCTGATCCCCTCGCTTCCCGCCAACCCTGGCAGACGAACTCTTCCTTCCGCCGCCGGTGTTATTCCGGGGGGAGACCGGTTTGGGTCTGTGGCGCCGGATGTTATCGGAATCGGCATCGTCGCTGCTGTTGGCGGCAATCTGCTTCTTACAAACGAAGCAGGAGAACAAATGAGCCATACACATCCAATTCAGATCCTGAAAATGTCTCACCAATTAGAATCTGAAAGCCCGATTCCCCCTTTTCTCCTCTTTGAATTTGATTGTATACAGAAAATTTAGTGGAGGGCCGGTTTTGGGTTTATATATAACGAAAACAGAGCATTAGGATTTGAAGAAGAAGAAGAAGAGTCGTTATCCATTTGGACAGTTGCCTATGGAAAGGGTTGACAGAAAGGTGGAAGCTTATCCTCCTCTTTTGTCCCTTTTCCCCCATTTTCAGGGTTGCCGGCGTTGGCCTGCTGCCCGGCTGGGGGTAATTTTTTTGCAGGGGCAGGCGATGGTAACGAGGAGGAGGACAAGCAGGTGAGAACAAAAAACGGCAATGGCGGAGTTGGAAGGTTGGTTGGTGGTTAGTGGTGTGTGGGGGAACGGAACTGGAACTTGGAATGAGTCTTAGAAATCTGGCAAAGAGAGAGGGTGTGGTTCGGCGGAATGATGCTGCTTTGTCTGCAAGTTTACAGAGTCAGGACACAGAGTATGCTATCCTGAATATTGCAGTCTTGCAGATGGGTTTTTTTTATGCCTCAGGAGTCAGGGTCAGGGCGCCATGGATTCAGGGATTACTGATAAGGGTTTTGTAATTATACGAGATTTCATTTTCATGGAAATGATAATTGGAATGGAGACCGTCAGTGGTGGTGAAAGTCTAATTTTCTAGAAACAGGGGAGAAACAGAGCATCTAGACCTTCAAGCCGGTTTGTTTCGTTCTGTGTTTTGCTTGCCATCGATGGGATATGCTAACTTGCTCTCTTTTCTATAACGATTATTAAAACAGATGGACTGCTTTTTTTCTTTTATAACTCTCAGTAACATCTCCACACAGACACACTGCTTTGCAATAGCAGAGTAACATCAAATTTGAGGGTTCACTTGCTTAAACCCTATTAAGATCTCTATTAGTGTTGTCGGGAAAATCACAAATCACACTCAGAATTTCACACGGTCAAAACAAACTCTCAACGAAGATCCACCAATTGAGTTATGTGACCTTTGGGCAGATAAACTGTTGGGACTTTTAGAGACGAGGGTCTACGTACGATAGCCCGAGACGGGGTGATCAGGGTTGTGATAGATAGAGTCGTGAACAACGTTCACTTTCTGAAATGAATATTTCCACCCTCAACAAGCCTAAGGTTACAGGAAATTTCTCCCGAGGATAAAACTATCACCACTTTAGGTTCCATACTCAAGAACACTAAAGCATACTTAGAAAATTTTGGAAGAAAGAAGAAGAATATGTTTGATGGTATGTGGCATCATCCACCCCACACATATTTATAGGGGACGAATCCATGCATTGTTTCATGAAAGGTTGCCTTTATCCATACGAAATGTTGCATTTATCCATATAAAAGGTTGCTTCTATCCATATGAAAGGTTATCATTATCCATATGAAGGGTTGCCTCTATCCATAAGGTTATCCTTATCCATAAAATAATGCAACCGCCACTAGGCCAAAGGGATGTGTCCCTTCACGGAATTAGAATATCAGTTCGGTCGGTCTAATCCCAAACCGGTTGGTCGGTCCAACCCAAAACAAGTTTGACTTGGTTAGTCCGGTTCAACCAAATTTCCAACATTCCTCCCCCATTTTAGTGTATTATAGAATTCACTAAAATCACAACATTCTTCCAACAAAACTTAAGCATAAATGAAAATGTCGTGACGCTTGAATTTTCACCTTAGTATATTACACTTGACGAATACTCGAATACAAAGGGTGTCGGTAACGATTGAACCCATTGATTCATATGAATATTCGAAGATAATATACACTTAAGTTTTCAAAACTTCTAAGCGCCTTGACACTATTATCCGCCATGTGTCCAATCCTTCTCATAAGCGCACACGAAACCAAAGTCTGGGTTTCTTGAAGCGGCTACACTTCATGCTTACGTAGGTTGAATCTCTTATTCGTGTACCCGCATAATGCACTTTTTCAAAGATTCCATTAAGAAGTGTAAACTTCTTCCTCTTCTCTCATGCAGGATAACATGCACATACCTCGGGATGACAAATTGTGTGCTTTCAATTTCTGATAATGAGCTTTCCACAATGAATTCAACCTCTAACTTTGTATTAGAAGGGAATTGGGTGTCCCATTACCAGAAATTATATGGACTTTAACCCATCCCTTTCTCAGACTTGATCACCAAGTCACTAGTTAACCACTTCGTCAAATGCTCAACCAAATTATCTCGAGTCTGGTCATCTAGACACAACTCTATGAATGATCAATTCACAGATTTTACCGTGCCTTACTCCCACATGACTGTACTTGTCATTTTCACTTGCTTATATGCCTTAGGCAAAGTAGCATTACTATCACTAAGAATAGTAATAGGTGAGATTGGTTTTGCCATAAATTAATGTCATAAACCAAGCATCTCATCAATAATGTCTTTTCTGTAAGAGAAATCAAGGTCACAAACTGTGACTCCATAGTGGAACTAGTGATGCAAGTTTGCTTTCTAGAGGCCCAATATATGGCACCTCCCCCAAGCAAGAGGACCCATCTCAATGTTGAAGTATCACCTTTAACATGAGAAATCCAACTAACATCAACAAATCCTTCCAAAAGCGATGGAAAGCCACTATAAGTCAATACAATGTACCTTTGACATATCCTAGTACACGCCTCATTTCATTTCAAATGATGAGCACTAGGATTACTCATGTACCGATATCTAGCATATGCGATATCTAGCATCATGCAAGTCATGCATACATTGAGCCCATTTAACATGGAATACTCCAGTTGTAAAACTGGTTAGCCAGTATTAACCATAAGTTCCATACTTGTAGATCCATTGTCGTATCTAACCCACGACAATTTCCACTAAGAAATTTTCTTTACGAGTACCTTCTCAATGCAGAAAAATTGAGAGAAGGAATATTCTTTGTTGTACTGTTTGATTCAATAGACAGAATCACATTTACCTCCCCCATGTCCCACAAGGAGAATTTAAATAACAACTTTTTATCAAAAGTTCACTTTTCTTTTATTGATCCCAAAGACAAGCGTGTCATATACATACAAAGTACGATGACTCCATTACCAGAATCATCATAAATTCTATATACATTTTGTCTCCTTGGTTTAAATAACATAAACCCCTAGACAAAATGACACCATCAAACATATTCTTTTACTTTCTTCCAAAAATTTCTAAGTATGCTTTAGTGTTCTTGAGCCTAGAACCTAAAGTGGTGATAGTTTTATCATCGGGAGAAATTTCCTGTAACCCAAGACTTTGTAGAGGGTGGAAATATTATTTTCGGAAAGTGAACGTTGTTCACGACTCTATCACAATCATGGTCACCCGGTCTCGGGCTATCGTACGTGTACCCTCGTCCCTAAAAGTCCCAACATAAACTGCTTTAGGAGGGAAGGAGATAGATAAATCTACACAATAAATAAAAGCCAAATGAAAAAAATTTGAACCTCATTTCAAATTTCCTACATCGCTTATTTTTTCTTATTCAGAGAAAAAATATATCAATAATGAGATTTGAACCGTGGTCTCTTTGAACAAAGATAAGAAACATAACTAGTTACAATAAGCACATTTGTGTGATCGTTTTCATTTAAAAACATATAGGAAGCTTAAATCTGAAAAATATAGGACTTTTCCACCACGTTTAGAATCGAAATGTCATTGATTCAAATATTGCATATCGAATTGCACTCTTGAATATGTAGAAGCGATGTAGAATTCTTAACATAGACTTAATTGTTATAACTATCATAAAGTGACGATATTTTTAAACACAGATTTTTTGAGTAAATATGGGGCACATGTGTCTTTAAGATAGGGGTAAATATGGAAAGGTTTAGTGATGTTGGTTTGCCGAACGCGGATGGAAAAGACACTACTAATGTAAACGGACCCAAATAGTGCCCCGACCACTAAACTCTCAACCATCACCGTCTCTCCAAATTTCTCATCAGACTCAACAAACGGCTAACCTCCTCTACCTCTAATATTAAGCCAGAGCAATTCTTGGAGGGGTAAATATGGATAGATTGAGTGTTGTTGGTTTGCCCAACGTAAATGGAAAAGGTGCTACTAATGTAAACGGACCCAAATAGTGTCGGACCCACTAAACACTCAACCACCGGGTTACTTTCGCTACACCTAATATAAGAGTGAAATGGGAAAGATGCTTCCCCCATTATAAAATCCTTGCATCCATAGCAAAAGTAGTAAGAGTAGATTCGTATTCACAATCATTTATTATTCATAGTAACGATTATTAAAACAGATGAACTGTTTTTTTTATATAACTCAGTAACATTTCCACACAGACACACTCCTTAACGATGGCAGAACGAGATCAAATTTGAGGGTTCACTTGCTTGAACCCTACTAAGATCTCTATTAGCGTCGCCGGGAAAACCACGAATCACACTCAGAATCTCACACGTTCAAAACAAACTTCCAATCAAGGTCCACCAATCGAGCTATGTGACCTTTGGGCAGATGTACTGCTTTAGGAGTGAAGGAGATGGATGAACTATAATTATTCGTACAGAAAAATAGGTAAAAATTAGGAAATAGATCATAGGGTTTTCCAAATTTACAGCAAGTTTGTTGTAAATATACCGGCAAATTACACCACGTGTTCTTTTGAAATTCTTGTGTCATTGTTGCGCCACTGCTAGTTTTATTATCTCCACCAAGAACAATGACATCGTCTCCATCACCCTGCTTCACTATTTTCACAAACGAAAGTATATTCTTTCTTCTCAACTACGGTCTTACCTCAATCAATCACTGGATCTGCTACGTTCACCGCTGGCTGACTCTATCTATCTTCTTTATCTCTTGTATTTTATTGGGGGTGCATAAGCTTAATGTTAAATGGGCGAAACAAAACATTTTGAATCCAA